TTGATGACTAAATTCGCTGCCAACATGCAGGTTCAAAACTAGCTTTCAATTTCACCAAAACCTTCTCCCGTCATTCATTCCCTATCGCCGTTTGGTTGGAGTTGAAAGAAAATCGGAGTAGAAGAAAGTGCCGATGGCCTGAATTTGTTTAAGTTGGACCTGAACTTGTCAGGAAATGGTCTTCCTCTCCGGCATGGAATGAGACATGCCGGATCCAGTTATAAAACTGTAACGGGTTGCCACTAACTCTATTATAATTCTGAATGGCGCCTTCTGTAGTATGTCCCTCACGCGTAGCCCTCTTCTTCCGCTGGTTCAACTGTTGGGATTTCTTGTAATCGTCATCCGTTTGTTCCATCGTTGGAGTCTTTGGGGTTGGTCGCGCTTAGTCTGGGTCCTCATCTTCGATCTTGCCATCGAGGGTGGCCCTACCAGGAGTTTAGAACTCTCAACGGCATCGCTCTTAGTAATTTATTTGTAAAACTAATGTAATCCAATTAAACCTGGTAATCAATATAAAGGCGGGAGACTTAGAAAAAGTAGACAAAATCTGCTAAAAACTGTTTCCACATTTTCTAAAATGTCGCCGGTTTAGGGTTAGGGTTAGTTCAGTTCAGCATATTCCCGGAATCCTTCTGTAGAACCTTAATGTTTAGACATTTCTGAACGAGTTGGATGCTATGCGTGACATCCACATGATAGTCTTGATCTGACGAGACTGTTTAAGAGCATCGTCCGAGTTCTCAGGTTAATATTTTGGTTTGGTAGCCTCTTTTGGTGCCTTCTCACAGATTACTCAACGGTTAAGATAAATGTGGTTCTACAGAAAGATGCTCAGAGAATAACATGGACTAAACATGTGAGAAACGCGGAAGCTTTAAGGAAAAAGGAGGGTACTTTGAAATATATATAAATATATATATATACATAAATTTCCAAGAGGACAGAATCCAGGTAGAACTCAATGTCCAGGACAGAGTAATAATGTAATATAAAAGGCTAGAACACTAATATTCCATGGTTATAATTTATTACATTGGAATTGTGATTACGATTCCAATGTAATAAATTATAACCATGGAATATTAGTGTTTGAGCCTTTTATATTACATTATATATATATATATATATATATATACACACACACACACACACACACACATATATATATATATATATATATATATATATATATATATATATGGCTAATAAATCCGTAGGATCCATGTGGATCCTAGTAATATCAAATATTAAAACTGATCTACAGAGAGCTCATATATATTGTTTTACAGCAAAAATCGCAAATTACCTCATAAGGATATAGTCTATTTCAGATCGGCATAACAATGCCAATCTTTATCGGTCCTAAATGCCTTTTGGAATGTCTGTCTGGACTTGTGGCGTTGAATTTATTTTAGATAGCAGTTGAGGGCAAACGCAGATCCACTAGAGTAATATACCAAGCAACCATCACCCACTAAAGAAAATAAGTCAAATTATAATACTTACTTTGGTATTTCCTCAGAAGAATTGAAACAGAGAATTTACACACACAGACACTCATTTACCAATCCAAAATTAAAACAACAAACAGCACTTTCAAACAAATTTTAGGAATTGAAGGAAAAGGGTCTGAATCCTCAGATAAAATGGGAAATTTAAGTTTTCGCGAACACTCCTAATAGTTTTAGAGATAGATGCAAGCTATGTTTAGAGGAGAAAATCAGAATAATAAAATACAATAATCAATGAAAACTATTAAATCAACGGAAAGAGCTAATTATGAAATGTAGGAACAGGAGCAGGTTCAAACTTATATAAGAATATAGATTTTACCTTATTTAGTAATCCCCCCCCCCAATATATATATATATATATATACAGTCCCCAAACTGATACAACCTCTTGTGATTAAATTTTAATTTAATATATTCCTCTTACTGATTTCCGGATGCAGCGTAGTATTCATAACATTTTAATCGATCCCAAATGGTGTAACTGAATGGCACACACACACACACAAACACACACACACACACACACACACACACACACACACACACACACACACATATATATATATATATATATATGTATACACCTATCTACGTATGTATGGGTATACATGTGTGTATGGGTACATATTTGTTGATGTATCGTTGTTGGAATACAGTATCATCCCATAGCAAGAACTGAAATCAATTACACGCAACTAAAGGTTAGGGCCATAATTAAACTCCGACCAAAGACCCTTAAAGAGTTACCTTACAACCCTCCCCTTGTCACCAATATAAGCTCCTTATCAATAACAAGGCGCCCCTTTGAATAGGGCTGCTATCTAACATAAATTCAATGCCACAAGTCCAGACACACATTCCAAAGGATAAAGATTATGCCTATCTGAAATAGACTATACCCATATGTGGTAATCTTGGATTTTTGCTGTAATGACGTATTATGAATTAAAAAATATTAAACAAACCCCCATTAATAATGAATTTTTTAATTATATTGTTGATGAACAAATTAGACAAGCTATTGGGGATATAAATAAAAATGAATGAATCATGAAATAACTTTAAACATATCAAACTACTATACCGCAATCAATTACATTCCAACTATAAACAGGAGGAAAAAAATCTAAAAGTCACATAAACACTAATATATCCGCCACTGATCCAAGTAAAAAAAAAAAAATTAATTATATACTATACTAAATTGAATACAACTAAACTAGTCGTCCCAAAAATAGTCGTTAAGTAGCATCAAGACCAACGATGTATATCAATTTAAATGCCCTTCGGAAGATTGCATCTTAGATAAAAATGTTAATACATGTGTTGGTTTTACAACGACAACGTTGACGAGACAGATTACGTTTCACTTGAATGAGCATAGTTCAATCTCAAGACATTTAAAGGAACACTCATGTCCACATTCACAGTTTAGACATATTAATCGAAAATACATTAGTACTTCTTCAAAATAGTAATAAGTAAAAACCTAAATTCTGGCAGCCCTTTTATATAAGAGAATTGCGGCCAAAAGTAAAGTCAACTATGAATATAGCAACAAAGTTCTTAAATGTTCCTAGCAGCAAAGTTTTATAAAAAATACTAAATTAAAATATTATAATTAAAAATCTTTCTTTTGTTTAAAAAAAAATTAAAGAAGTTACGCCCTTGCATAGCTAGAAAAAAAAAAAAGAATTTGAAACGCTGTAAACGAACAGTGAAAAATATTTTGAATTTACGGAGCTACGTCCACAGATATTTTAACCCCCCTGAAGATGGTCTCAGATGAGATTGAAAGTACTAAGGAAAATAAAAATTATTTGAAAGAAAATTTTGCAATTTTTCTTAATCAATTTTCTACAGGCAATAAGAAATTAATTTGTGGACTTGAATGGATTAAAACTAAAATAGACATAATACATCTAAATTATTTAACCAAACCTACTTAAATCTCTCTCTCTCTCTGTATATATATATATATATATATATATATATATATATATATATATATATATATATATATACAGGCCTGAATGCCCTAGAAATTTCATAGAAAATATGCATTCTCCGACAGGAATCGAACCTGTATCCTACATGGAACCGTCATATAGCCTGACGTTCGAGGGCAATCATAGGAAGTTTGTAGTTTAAGCAACGTTTTCTTGCTTTCCAGTAAAATTTGATCTTTAAAAATTTAAAATGCAATATCAATCGTCATCTTCTATCATTTTAATTCCTGTTCTTTTATTGTTCTCGATCCTTAATAATAATTTTTTTTCATTCAGTAACCCTTGCTTTTTAGTAGCTTTAATGCCTTGCTTGGTGTGAAATGATTAAAAAAACTTCATAATTAAAAGCGCCAATAAAAGAAAGTACTGTTCAGAAGAGACCATTGAAAGATATAATACTGAGTTTTTGTGCCTGACAATGTTGATCTTAGTAAATACAAAGCATTTATAACGGATCAAAGTGTAGTATCTGTTCCTTTTTTCTTGGCGTCAATTCTTTTTTCAACCAAGAGGATATTAATACATAACATATATTCTACGGTATTTTTGAGGGTGTGGATTATTTTCCACGCTGCAGCCTCTTTCCTCACAGACTCAAAGTCGCACGCCTCTTGTTACTCTATCGTTTTTTCCAATGTGAATGTTCAGATGAGCGCTCCATTCTTTAATTCTACCAGTTCAGACTTTTACATTCTTTTTCTCGTTATGTTGCATCCACGAAATCAAATCACCCACATTTCCCCCGTTGATTGATTCGTTTTTACGACTTATCAACATTTTGTAGGTTATTTAAAGCTAGAAAATAATTTTATATTGTAAGATTGTTTTTTAAGATAATAATGATTTAGTGATATAAGTCTTACTAATTAACCCATAGCTTGGGGAGAAGAAGTTGATTCACACATTTCCCAAGGGTATGAGCGCGTAAGTTCTCGACTTCAGTCACTTTCTCAACGACGTGATATGGCGTCCCTCTGTTTTTTCTACAAATATTTTCATGGCAACTGCTTTGACGAGCTTTTTTCCTGGTGGCCAGACTACGTGAATTTAAGCGTGTTACTAGATTGGCATCTAGGTCTCACCCTTTTACTGTTGAAATAGCTATATGTAACCGCCACCTCTATTCCAAGTTCCTTTTCTCGCACTTCCCGCCTGCGGAACTCCCTTCCATTTACTTGCTTTCCTGATAAATACAATCCCCCAAAATTTAAATGCAACGTCAATCGCCATCTTTTGTCTTCTTGAATCCCGCACAGTTTTTGTCCGTTCCTCAACCCTCCCTATTCTCGGTCTTCTTTTTCTCTTTCACTCCCCGTTAGTCATTGCGCGGTAGTGGCATTCCCGCCTTTGCTTGAGATGAAATGTTTAAAAAAAAATAAAAATAAAAAATGAATATGACGAACCCGACTTGAACTGGAACTCGGCTCTCCGATTAACAATTCTGAGCCATTATCCATCGCACATAAAAGCTTATACCACCTGCCATTCCCAAGCGGTCACCCATCTACGTACAAAGTAGACTCGACGTTGCTTAACTTCAGTGATCGTACGGGAACCGGTGTTTCAGCATGATATGGCCGTAAGCCTACATTTCCTTTGTATTCCAATTATAAGCGGCTTTTGTCAAAATAACTGCTTCTTTGATGAACAGACTCCAATGTGGATGTTTCCTTCAACTCTATAGTCTCTATCTTTTTAAATCTAAGGTCAATCGTTATCTATCCCAAGTATCTTCATAATATCCATTTTAACTCCTCCTTTCCTCACTATCATGCACCTCATTCTGTACCTATACACTTGGAGTGGCTCTCAGGCCTATTATTGAGGGGGAACCTAGCAAAGAAATAAAAATACATCAACTGTTTTTTTTGTTTGTAACTTTTTACTCTAGTAGAGCTAATCTTTGTATTGTCAATGCCAACTTGCCAGTTGTTCGAAGGTTGGTCACAAAGCCAAGAAATGATAAGACCGAATCCGAGCAAGAGTAGGGTAATCAGTGAACATCTACATTTAAAATGCAATCACTTTTGACAGCACAGGCAAGTTAGTGTTTTCATAAAATGTTTTTATGAGTGAACTAACCATGACGACAATTCAGTTCTTTTATGGAGTTATATTATACGGGAATAAAATCATGCTTCAGCGCATAAACAGTCATTTTAATAGATATTAATGTCTTTTGTATTGAATGGTATCCTAAAATAAACTCTTTTCTTCAAAGTAAATATGAGTAACGAAGCTGATAAACAAGTTCAGAAAAAGCTCACCGGTTATTTTAAATGGGGAAAAAGCCAACGTGGTAATTTTGTTTATATAACAATTAAACAATTATCTTTCAGGAAGAATAAAACATACACACACACAGCAACAGTTAGTGGGTGTGCTTGCTGTAGAAATTCGACACAAAGACTGGTGGCAAATGACAAAGAGCACGAATTTGAAAGGTTCGCCTAAGAGCCCTAGAATAGAATAAAGTACCTACATCTGTATTATCGTTCACCTTTTGCGTTATAGGGTCTTTTAGAAGAAGAAGAAGAAGGGAAGAAGAAGCAGCAGCAGCATCAGCAGCAGAAGAAGAAGAAGAAGAAGAAGGGAAGAAGAAGCAGCAGCAGCATCAGCAGCAGAAGAAGAAGAAGAAGGGGAAGAAGAAGCAGCAGCAGCAGCAACAGCAGCAGCAGAAGAAGAAGAAGAAGAAGAAGAAGAAGAAGAAGAAGAAGGGATTGGGAAAGAAACGGTAGAAGAAGAAGAAGAAGAAGAAGAAGAAGAAGAAGAAGAAGAAGAAGAAGAAGAAGAAGGATTGGGAAAGAAACGGTAGAAGAAGAAGAAGAAGAAGAAGAAGAAGAAGAAGAAGAAGAAGAAGAAGAAAAAAAAAGAAGAAGAAGAAGAAGGATTGGGAAAGAAACGGTAGAAGAAGAAGAAGAAGAAGAAGAAGAAGAAAAAGAAGAAGAAGAAGAAACAGCTGAGAGTGGTGGATAATCGAACGGAAAAGAGGAACAAAAGCCAAAGAGAATAAGAATAGAAGAAAGAACATATGAAGACGAAGAAATAAAGAAGCAGTTATAGTAGTTGATGTAATAGTAGTGACCTATTGATGCTGCTGCTACTACTACTATTACTATTACTACTACTACTACTACTAATAATAACTTGAAATATTCGTGAAAATTTTACGATTTTGCTATTTTAATTTTCTGATCAATCATTGAATAAACTTTTTGTGAGTTCAGGTGATTATTTAAAGAAGTAAGAGGGTACAAATGAAAAGATTAAAAATTGATAAAATATTGCAATAACAATCATAAGTACGAATGCGGGTCATTATTTAAAGAAGTAAAAGATGAATCATTAATTAATTAAATAAGCTCGCGGTGCGTTCTACGTCTATAAAAACACCGTGAAAATTCCCTTATTACTTCGTTAAATATTTGACTAATTATAAATATGAAGACATGACATTATTTAAAGATGTAAGAGGGTACAAATAAAAAGATTCAAAATTTACAAGTTTTCCATTTCACTGAAACAGACGTTAAAAATATGAGAGCGCCATCGACTCCTTTCTTTCTTTCATTCTTTCTTTCTTCCTTTCTCAGATTGTTCTTTCTTTATTTCTCAGTTTGTTCTTTCTTTCTTTCTTTCTTTCTCAGCTTGTTTTATTGATATGACAGTTCCTGTAGAATCTAATGTATCTTTGAAGATCTTTAAAAAAATATCAAAATGCAAGGATCTTGAAGTGGAAATCTAAAAATTGTGGCACATAAAGATTTCAATAATTCCAGTTTTGGTTGGAGCCCTCAGATTGATTGGAACAGGTACTAATGGACTCATTGAAGAGATTCCTGCTAGTCTATGCCTTAAAGAAATACAAAATCAATCCTCCTATATGGCAGTGAATGCTGGACAATCTCCTCACAGATGAAGAAGAGACTTGAAGCAACAGAAACAAAGAAAAGAGTACTGAACTGTTACGTAATATCAGTCCTCATATATGGCAGTGAATGCTGGACAATCTCCCCACAAGATGAAGAAGAGACTTGAAGCAACAGAAACAAAGAAAAGAGTACTGAACTGTTACGTAATATCAATCCTCCTATATGGCAGGGAATGCTGGACAATCTCCCCACAAGATGAAGAAGAGAGTTGAAGCAACAGACACAAAGAAAATAGTACTGAACTGTTACGCAATATCAATCCTCATATATGGCAGTGAATGCTGGACAATCTCCCCACAAGATGAAGAAGAGACTTGAAGCAACAGAAACAAAGAAAAGAGTACTGAACTGTTACGTAATATCAATCCTCATATATGGCAGTGAATGCTGGACAATCTCCCCACAAGATGAAGAAGAGACTTGAAGCAATAGAAACAAAGAAAAGAGTACTGAACTGTTACGTAATATCACTCCTTCTATATGGCGGAGAATACTGGACAATCTCCTCAAAGATGAAGAAGAGAGTTGAAGCAACAGAAACAAAGAAAATAGTACTGAACTGTTACGCAATATCAATCCTTCTATATGGCAGTGAATACTGGACAATTTCCTCACATATGAAGAAGAGACTTGAAACAACAGAAATAAAGAAAAGATTACTGAATTCTTATGTGATATCGGTCCTCATATATGTCAAAGAATTTAGGAGAGATAGTAAAAAGACAAAATTTACTAAGAGCTAGGAAGAACAGACAATTGTGGGGAAGAAGAAAATTCGGAGTGTGATTTGGATTGAGGTACTTCAGTAAGCATCATTTCTTGAAACAGATAGAATTCTGAGAAATGTTTTTTTTGTTATGTAGAGAAGTGAAGAAATGAAAGGACGTATGTTTATTTATTATGACCCACATATGATCTTGAAAAGACGGCATGAAATCTTCCTGAGGGAAAGAGAGATAATAATAAGAATAACTAACTATATCACCGTTTTACGATCATTTCTCTTAATATTAATTTTAAAATAATTCAGCAGATGATGTTATTTTATTTACGGTAACTGGAAATTTTGGTTACTCGCTTTTCATCGTTCAACACTGTGTGTCTGAAAAATTGTGGTTGCATCACTTCTTGGTCTTTTGTCATCTCAAATAATTTTAAGTCCAAGCCCCAAGGGAGGTTCCCCCCCCTATTCAGTACCCCTTTTTCGAGAGGGGTCTGGATTTTATTCAGCGGTGACTGAAGCGTTCACTGAGGGTGCATTCGCAATTTTTCCACAGCATTGCCGTTAAACCCACTCGAAATGTCAGCAGTGACGTGGGTGCACTGAAAAATAAACGCTTCTCGGCCTTCTGGCTAAGATCAAAGTGTAGTATCTGTTTTCGTCAGCTTAATCTGATTCTCTCTTTTTTTTTCCACTTCTTTCCTCCATTTTCTCGCTGAAGCCAAGCAATGTATTTTTCCCGTCTTTCCATGCCATCGAAACTGAATAGTCCGTTATTTATGAGGTATTGGCAGGGCGTAGCGGTCGTGCGAACTATCGAAGGAAGGGACAAGCACTATTATAATAGGATAATATTAAACAGAAGTAGTAGAAAATGGAGAAGGTAGGATAGGTCAAGAAACTACTGTAGTAACTTTTTGATAAAAAAAAAGGAAAATAAACATTAATAAACACTCCTTAAAACACTTGCTGATTGCTTTGTAGATGTTTCTTTAACCATAACGACATGCATCATGGAGATGGTATTTATAGTGCAAAGAAACAATATAGGTGTACGCTATCTACGCCTACGGTAGATTTTCCAACTCACATGACTTTTTTTTTCGGGTCGACATATCTTCACGAGTAACCTGATTGGTGATGGGCATTTTTTTTATCGAGTCACCATTTCTAGACTGGTTGGCAACCAAGGCTAGAAAGTCCATTATGTCTTGCTATTTTACCAGTATTTACAAATAAATATGAAAATGTCTTATTCATAAATTTATTTAACATTTACTAAATTATTAAGATATGTGAAAATGGTACCTAGACTTTTTGAATTTAACTGTAGTACTAGACTTACGGCGAGGTCTCATCAATTTATAATTGAGATGATTAGATGTAACCGTAAGTTCTATGCTAACAGTTTCTTCTCTCGAACTTCTCGCTTGTGGAACTCCCTTCCGGCTTCAAGCCAACTTTAATCTGCAAAAATTTAAATTTACCATTTTATAAAGTTTGAATCAATCAGTCAGTGTTTTGCTAACCATTCCAATGAACAATTCAATAAATAGTGTAAATAAGCAATCTAATAAGTAAATAAATATTTTATTATTTTGGTTTTAAATTCTAAAGAACAAATAAAATATATAAATACACTTTCCTCATATATCTAGGTTTCATTACAATTCTAATCATCGCTTTTTAAAACAGTAAGCAATTCAGCGGATTGAAGGTAGTTAAAATAATAATTATAGAGAAACGTTTTTGACCCTTTGATACATAACCTTTTGTCGAAGTTTTCCGGTGTAAAAATTTATCAGAAAAAGAGCAGTAATTAATCAATTTAACATTTATTGATAATTTTCTAACATTTCTTCATCAAGCGTCTTCGTAAGTAGGACTATTTGGGGCAGTTAATATATATATATATATATATATATATATATATATATATATATATATATATGAGCGCTCACGTTATATTCCTCAAGTAATTGTTACAGCTATGTCCCACATAGCACGTAGAATTAGGACAATCTACCACCATAGATTTAAATAAAGGGTTTCGATTGAAAATTCCAACGTATATCATCTGAAGTCGTGAATATGGCAATAAATATGAGGACAAAAGCCCAAACGATCTAAATAGTGTAAATAGGTACAATACTTCATCTAAAAAAATACTGAATGCCAACTCTGAGATGCGTAAATGACACCTTCATACTCTGGCCACATCAAGAAAATGTCCTGCTACTACTGGACCATGTGAAATTAGTAAGACCACCAATACAGTTCACTATGGAGAGAGAAAACAACAAAGTAGCGTTCTGGATGTACTAATGTCTTGGGTACATGGGTTCAGGACATCCGCATACTGCAAGCCAAAATTCACCAGACAACAGCTCAACTTCGGCTCCCACCACCCATAAGGTGTAAAGAAAAGGATCGTCCGCTGCCCACAACATCAAGCAAAAATCATAAATGTCGAACGAGAGATATATGAAAAAGAAATGGTCAGTATAAGCAGTACTCTATAATGTAACAACTACACTGGGTGCAGACAGCCCCCCCAAAAAAAACCAACTGGGATAGGGTGCAAGACGATAACAACACAGAGAAAACAGCCTCGGTCCGCCTACTCTATGTGAAGGGCTCATGGGAAAGGATATAAAGGATCTGTGGTCCATATAATATCAGGACAACTGATACTGGTGATTTGATACGACGTAGACATCTCTTCTGCATAAGATCATCTACAGACGAGAACATGATTAAGGACTGTATGTACGCCATCCTGTGCAGTTGTGGCAAGAAATATAAAGGAGAAACAGACCACCCCTTAAGATAAGACTGCAAGAACATCGTAAAGCCATAAAATGACGGGAAATAGAAAAAATCAGACATGGCTGACGATATATGGAGAGAGAGGAGAGATAACCGCCCTTTGTGGGATGAAGTTGAAATAATAGACTGAGGACATCACTGGAAAAATACGAAAATAAAAGGATTCAATACATATGCTAGGCCACAAAAATATCCTAAGCCGGCCAACAATCGGAACGATCTAAATAATGTAAATAGTTACAGCACCTCACCTCGGAAATATAGGCAGGTCCTGAAGAAGGCCAGAACGTACAAAGGCCGAAACGTCGTGAATATGTCAATAAAGATGAGGACAACAATTCGAACAATGTAAATAGTGTAAATAGTTAGAGTACCTCATCTCAGAAATATAGACAGGTCCTGAAGAAGGCCGGAGAGTGCAATGGCCGAAACGTCGGGAAAATGTCAATAAAGATGAGGACAACAGCACGAACGATGTAAATAGTTACAATATCTCATCTCAGAAGTATAGACAGCTCCTGAAGAAGGCCGGAGTGAAGAACGGCCGAAACGTTATGAATATGGCAATACAGATGAGTACAACAATCCAAACTATGTAAATAGTTACAATACCTCTTCTCAGAAATGTAGATAAAAATATAAATATCATCAATGTCTATTACGTAAATGGGTTTATTTAATTTATCAAATATATTTTCACTTGTTTTTTATACAAAAAAGAGTTCATGACAATTTAGAACAAAAAGATAAAAAATAGAGACAGAAAGATATATATATATATATATATATATATATATATATATATATATATATAGAGAGAGAGAGAGAGAGAGAGAGAAAAGAGAGAAAAAGAAACAGGGAGAAAGAAAAGGAAAATATTTAAAAAGAATGAAAGAGAAAAAGTGAAAGAGACAGAAAGGAAAGATAGCGAGGAAAGGTGTGAACGCGAGAAAAGGTGAAAGAGAAAAAGGCAAATATAGAGGGAGAGTGAAAGAGAGAAAAAGTGAGAGAAAGAAAGGGAAAATAAAGGGAGAGTGAAAGAGAGAAAAAGTGAGAGAAAGAAAGGGAAAATAAAGGGAGAGTGAAAGAGAGAAAAAGTGAGAGAAAGAAAGGGAAAATAAAGGGAGAGTGAAAGAGAGAAAAAGTGAAAGAGAAAGAAAGGGAATATAGAGGGAAAGTGAAAGAGAGAAAAAGTGAAAGAGAGAAAAAGTGAAAGAGAAAGAAAGGGAATATAGAGGGAGAGTGAAAGAGAGAAAAAGGTAAAAATAGAGGGACAGTGAAAGAAAAAGAAAGTGGAAAATAGTGGGAGAGTGAAAGAGAGAAAAAGTGAAAGAGAAAAAAGGGAAATAGAGAGGGAGAATGAAAGAGAAAGAAAGTGGAAAATAGAGAGAGAGTGGAAGAAAGAAAGAGTGAAAGAGAGAGAAAGGGAAAGGGAAATATAGTGGGAGAGTGAAAGAGAGAAAATTGAAAGAGAAAAAAAGGGAAATAGAGAGGGAGAGTGAAAGAGAAAGAAAGTGGAAAATAGAGAGAGAGAGAGTGGAAGAGAGAAAAAGTGAAAGAAAGGGAAAGGGAAATATAGTGGGAGAGTGAAAGAGAGAAAAGTGAAAAAAAAAAAAAAAAATGAAAAATGAAAGGTAGAGAGAGAGAGAAAGGGAAAGAGAGTGAAAAAGGAGGAAAATAACGAGTTGTAACTCACCAAATGAGATTTGAATGTAAACCTTCCACTTGTTAAAGGTAAATTTTCCGGATATTGATATTTCGATTAATGGGTTTTTGTGTGAATAAACAATCAATCAAACAAGCAACACGCAAAAGCAACAACAACAAAAAAAAAAGCAGCTATAAAAATCCCAAATTAAATCCTACGTTTCACGAATCATGCTGTAGGTCATATTGAGTAAAACTTCATCTCAGTATGCACAACCACAAACCAGAAAAGTTGACATTAGTTTGAAAGACCCAATAAAAAAACTTATATGGTTTGTATGCCAGATATTAATACAATCAATGTTTAAAAAGAAAATCCAACAGTTATTTCATGGTTACGTATCTGAAAGTGTTACCGGATATGATATATACTGTCATTTGACAATTGTTGGTGGTAGTGAGGGCGTGGTTAATGGCGGTGGAGGTATTATGGAGGTGGTAATAGTGGTCGCCATTGTTGTCAGACGTCTTCAGTCTAATTTTATTCTTATTACTCGCAGGTGAGCAAAATTAGAGAACAGGAACGTAGTAGGTTTAATCTCAAAATAATATTAACATCTAAAAGGACGAAACTCACACTCTCCCTCGCTATCTCTCTCACGAACTGTCTCACCACCTTGTTTTCTCACAATCCCCCGCGACACACTTTCTCTCTCTCTCTCTCTATCACTCCTTCTTTCTCTCTCCCTCTCTCAGATTGTCTCACCACCTTTCTTTCTTACTTTCTCACAATCCTTCGCGACACACTTTCTCTCTCTCTCTGTCATCCCTTCTCTCTCTCCCCCTCTCTCAGATTGTCTCACCACCTTTCTTTCTTGCTTTCTCCACAATCCCCCCGACACACTTTCTCTCTCTCCTATCACCCTCTCTCTCACTATCACCCCTCTCTCCCCCTCTCTCAGATTGTCTCACCACCTTTCTTTCTTGCTTTCTCCACAATCCCCCGACACACTTTCTCTCTCTCCCTATCACCCTCTCTCCCACTATCACCCTCTCTCTCCCCCTCTCTCAGATTGTCTCACCACCTTTCTTTCTTGCTTTCTCACAATCCCCCGCGACACACTTTCTCTCTCTCCCTATCACCCTCTCTCTCACTATCACCCTCTCTCTCCCTCTCTCTCAGATTGTCTCACCACCTTTCTTTCTTGCTTTCTCACAATCCCCCGCGACACACTTTCTCTCTCTCTATCACTCCCTCTCTCTCTTACACGCATTTTCTTTCACACCATTCTTTTATATTTACACACACTCATTTTCTCATACTATCTCTTTCTCTCTCTCACTCTCTCTCTCTCTCTCTCACACACACACACACAGGGAGGTTTTGAGGAGAGTGGAGCCACCTCGTACTTGCCGTTTTTCTTAGGTCTACCCTGAACCGGGATGGTAGCACTTGTTAGGGTCCCTAAACAAATACAAAATACTATGAATGCATAACAAATGCCGGCAATATATTATAAATAAAAAATTACAGCAATATGTATTTATTAAAATTACCAGCAATACAATTGTAAAGCAAAATGACCGGCTTTACATTAAGATATATCGACCATAAAATTTGCACTTCTTAACCCCTTCGAGGAAACGTTTACAATTATTAGGTGTAGTTGACAAGACTTCAATTTTTGTTGGGCTATTTAATAATTTTTTATTTGGCGCCCAGTGAGGATCGAACTCACAATTCATAGTCAATCAGACTAACCTTGTTAACCATTATCCTATGCCGAGAAGCATCGAGGGAGGCGAGAAGCAGTTACTTTTCCAAGATGTAAATTGATATATTTGGAACATACTGATAAACTGCTAATACAATCATTAGCAGTACAGATATTTTATATGGAAGTTCCACATAAAATGTCACCCTTTTAAAGGGGAACCTTTAAAGGAATTATTTTACAATTGTACTATACCATTATCACTTACAGTGTAACCCGGATATAAGAGAGTTGTCGGGACCGGAGAAGAAGTCTCTTATATCAGGGTTTCTCTTGTATCCGGGTTTGGTCTATTTTGTTTAGGTAAGTATGGGCTCTAATTTGGGACCAGAGAAAATCTCTCTTATATCCGGCTTTCTCTTATATCAGGGTCTCTTATATCCGGGTTACACTGTATTAAGTTATAAGTACCGAGTGTAACAGCAAAATTATCCATGCCACAAAATATTTAATATCTAAAAAACACTAAACTACTTGAGTTTCTTTTTTCCAGGTTTTCAGATAAGACGTTTAGCCATCTTGACACCATTTGACGTAAGAATCAGTAAAAAAAAAACCTTTGAGTTATCCAGCTAAAAAGACAGCTGGTTAAAATTGTTTTGCGACATAGCCACTGTCTTCCCAACTGAGAAATGGTGAGAGGAAAAAATCATTCAGGCCTTCAGTAAAGGTATCAACATTCATACTCTCGCTTCCATCTTCAAATTCCATTCAAGAACCATCAAGAGAACGGTGAATAAGTTTTAAAAAGAGGAAACAGTAGAGAGGAGATCTGGATCAGAAGGTCACAACAGCAAGATGGTTCATCATTTCAACTTAGAGCTAAAGAGATCAATTAGAAAAGAACCAACTCAGTCCATAAGACATTTGGCACATGACAGAGGAATTTCAGCTATGATAGGCCAAAGAGCAGTGAAAAGAGACTTAAAAATGAAATTGTACGTGAAACATGTGAGGTACCTTGTTACTCCAGGACAGAAAGTTGGAAAGATGGTGAAGATCATTTTGAATAAGTTGGAAAATGTTCCTGGAAAAACATATCTATATCTATAATTCTCAAAATGTGTGTGTTTATGTATGTGTGTGTGTTTATGTATGTGTGTGTGTGTGTTTATGTATGTGTGTGTGTTTATGTATGTGTGTGTGTGTGTTTATGTATGTGTGTACGTGTTTATGTATGTGTGTGTTTATGTATGTGTGTGTGTGTTTATGTATGTGTGTGTGTGTTTATGTATGTGTGTGTGTTTATGTATGTGTGTGTGTATTTATGTATGTGTGTGTGTTTATGTATGTGTGTGTGTGTTTATGTATGTGTGTGTGTGTTTATGTATGTGTGTGTTTATGTATGTGTGTGTGTGTGTGTTTATGTATGTGTGTACGTGTTTATGTATGTGTGTGTGTGTGTTTATGTATGTGTGTGTTTGATCGGATGTTGTTTATGCATTTCCAGTTTTCATCCGATTTCGATGAAATTTTTTTGTTTGATAGATAATTCTTCAGTGCCGGTTTTGAGTTCAAATTGTTGACGGCAATGGCTCTCCACTACTTCCTGTCCATTATAACTGTCAGCAACGTTTTACTATTTACTATCTGTTCTTGGATATATATCTTTCATAAAAACTTTAGTAAAAATAGTTTAAATTATTAAAATAATATTATTTAATTCCCTTTTCAGTGCCACCACCTCCTATTCAGATTGTTACTCCCCCCCCCCACCATTTGGGGATGTTCCTCTGTTGCACCCAAATGTTGTTACTAATATTGATTTTCGTGTGGGATGACTTTAAACTTAAATTACTCCAATTGAACAGCAAAAATTCACAGTAATAAAATACCCGGTCAAAGACTGCTAGTATATATATATATATATATATATATATATATATATATATATATATATATATATTTGAATTTAATTACAATCCTTCATGATCTTTCGATCTTAGCTATGACTGATTTATGATGAACATATTTTTGTTTATGATCGATTTCATCAGGATTCTTCTGTTAAGCTTGAAGAGTAATTATACATTCTTATTGCTCAAAGTAGAGTTCAATAGTGTTATAAAAACCTCGGAGATTTCCAGTAAGATATCTTTAATCATTTCTAAGATACAATGGTTCAAAGCGTAATCTAATAAATGGACAATTTTGCTTTTACACGATTTAGACAATTTTGCTGTTACACCCAATATATATATATATATATATATATATGTATTGGATCTTATCAAGGAGCTCAAAGTAAATAGCAAGGGCACCAGATTTGTGATCTTTTATAAATAATTCTTTTGTTTATGAATTTTATAAATGCTTTGTTATTCAAATAAAGCCATTTTCTGCCTTCAAAGTGGGAATCACATTAGCATTTAGATCACAGGTTGGGAATTGTAAATGAAATGTCGGTAATTTTTAATAGTATATTTTGAAACTGTAACAAATATTGTAAATTATACCATAATCCTACATATGAAATTTACTTATTTGTTTTAATGACAACATTTGTGGTAATTTCATTTTACATTATAGACAAATCAAACAAACAACTGACTACCACAGAAGAACAAAAGAAAGAAACTTGGCACACACACACACACACACACTGCACATCTTGCTGAAAATAAGAGATTAACAAGATCATCTTGAATAAGTTAGAAAATGATCCTTGAATAATATATATATATATATATATATATTTGAACTTTATTTCAATCCTTCTGATCCTTAGCTACGATTAATTAATTGAGAGTTATTATACATTGTTATTGCTCAAGGTAGAGTCCAATAGTGTTAATGAAAACCTCGGAGAATTCCAGTAAGATATCTTTAATCTTTTCTAAGATACAACGTTTCAGAGATTAATCCAAAAATTGGACAATTTTTCTGTTACACCCGATATATACAAGTATCAGTAAGTTAATCTTTTCCACTTTCCCAGGTCAAAATCCAAACCCAGTACCTTCACACTCTTGTTGGAAGAGCTACTTTCTCATTGAACATGCCTTCAGGGTGTAGAAATAGTCACCATGTTTGGCCAATTGTGGGTTTGTGAGATTATTTAGGCCATATTGGGGTTTTGACTTAAGAGTTTCCCTTTTCCTGGATCGATTTCCAACCAAGGCTATAGCTTATCTGTCCTGCTATTTACCCATAGTTGGGGGGGGAGGCATATGAATTCATACGTTTCCGAAGGGTATTTGCTCCTAAGTGTCTGTAACGAATCCGACTGGAATTCGAACTCGACTCTCCAATTCCTCGACCCGAGATGCTATCCCTTACACCACCATAAGGAACAAAGAGACATATTCAGAATATATCTTATTGATAACCCTGTTAGAGACAAGCACCAGTCAATAATGATAAAGTTTTTTTAGAAGGGAGTATAAAGCCGGGTTTACATCAGTAGTTCTCAACCGATTTTGGGCCATGACCCACTTTGGTTATTTCTAAAATGCTGCTGCACTCCTGTAATATTTAATTGTTTCAAAATGTTACTGCAATTCACATGAAGGAAGCTTAAAAGGCCAATAAATTGGTCTCTAAACAAGCCTCCAAACAAGATGGATACACGAATCCAGAATACAGACGCTGCTCTGCTTACAAATTTTCGTTTTAGCAAATTTTCAGAAAAAAAACCCTGTTAGCTGCAACGTTGTAATTTATAACTGTTGCAGAGTAGAGCGCAGGATACTTCCTGCTCTTCCCTACTACTGTGATAATGAACTGCTCCTAATTATAAATATGGCAAGTAGCCACATTAAAGAAGGATTTGAGGAGTATTTGATTTACTTAAGTAATTCCGTTCTATGTATGAGTACTTAATAAACCCCTTCTTATTTGTTTCCTCTACACAGTCTTCTGTTCCTTCGATAATCTCTCTAACTACGGCCTTCTTAATTCCCGGTTATTTTGAACGAAGACAACATTACAACAGTGGCGACGTGGATACGATTCAAATACTACTCAAATCCCACTCTAATGTAGCTACTTGCCATATTTATAAGTGGGATCAGTCCATTGTCATAGTAGTAGGGAAGAACACTGAGTCCTACTCTACAACAATAACCTGCCCCTACCTACTTGGTAAATGGTAGCAATATAAATTGTCCAAATAGAACGTCAAGACTTTCTCAAGGTGTGCGAAGGCGTAAAATATGTTAGAAGCAAATAAATCTACAAGTTTTATTAATAAGATAATACATTAGTGAGAGACATACAAATATTTGCAACAATTTTTTTTTCAACTGAAGGGGTTGAAATAACTTTTATGTAAACCTATTTTTGTTTGAATTTTCCTTAAATTTTAAACGACGGCTATTATCAACGGATTTTACATTGGAGATCAACTGACATCACTAACTGATTATTTTAAACTTTTTCCAACGACATGGGCATAATCTATTCATGATTAAAGTTTAAATGGCTAACTGGCAGCTCATTTAATGGACTATGAAATATCTGTGAATATTCATTTATTGCATCATTAACTATTTGAGCTTAACAACTTTAACAAAAATTACGATGTTGTAATGTTGTCTTTGTTCAAAATAGCCAAGAATTAGGAAAGTCGTAGTTAGAGTTTCGCAGCAACAGAAGACTATGTAAA